ATAGAAAAAAGTACTTTTAGTACCAAAATTAGTTTATTTGTGGTGACCTGGATGACTATGCTTGCACATGCGCAAATGAGCTGTGGTACGGATCATGCTTCAGATAGAGAAAAAAAAAGAAAAACTATTGAGGTGTCAGTCTGCTCATTAAACATGTTTTAGTCATAAAGGGTCAAATAAAAAGAAAATGTCAAGTCATTTTATAGCTATTTTTCAGTAAAAACACAACATTTTTCTTTAACTTTCCATTTCTTTGCATCATATTTGTTCTTTAAACAACAGCAACATGTGCTGAACTGATATGATGCTGATATCTTATGGTTATTTAATCATTGGTTGGATTTTGAGGATCTTTTCATGATGTCAATTTATCTTCATTTTGGTTTAGGTCCCAACGAGAATTTGGATGAATTTGCCTCCTGCTTTGGTAAATGCTTCGGTGAATTCTTCTGCACTGTCTTAAAAGCTGCTGCTGATGAGTAAAGTTAATCAAAACAAAGTGCTCTTAAAAAAATGAAAATTAAATCAATTAAAACTGAATTATGCTCTATATAGATTGTATTTAGCAGCACTAATCCAGAATCCTTTTCATTTTGCTCGAGTAAATGAAATAACAAAAAAAAGTTAGGACTTTAAGACACTTGCTTCTCAGTGTATCTAATTAATAAAAATATTAATCCCTGGTGCTCCAGCTATGTAACAGACATTTAGAATGACAAACCCACTAAAATCAAATTTTCCCAGTCAGTAAAAGACCAGCATTATAACAAAAAAAACAACATATAAATCTGCTGTAGTCTAAGAACAGGGATTTACAGAATATTAATTACATTTATATGCTTGATTTATAGATAAGATTCCTTCTCTGATAGCAAATATAAAACCCAACTGGTTAAATACACCCTCCATTGATCTAAACACATTAAATCTTGGTGTAATAATTTTCTTGCGTGTTTGGTGCGAGGGATTGCTTTGGAGTCAATGAGTCGCTGCGATCAGCTGGTTTTCCTTAGAAAACTTTAATCCACTCTTACTGTATGATCTGGTTGAATTATCTCTGTAAAGTGCCCCTATAGATGATGTTTTGTGAATTATTGCTGTGAAGATAAACTGGATTGAATTTAAATTGAATTTAGAAAAGCAATGGATTGCATTTTTATTCATAAACCTTTTCCACACTTTTTCACATTACAGAAACTTTAATAGATTTAGTGTTGAAAAACTGACACAAACATGTCCTGATTGTGAAGTGGAGGAAATGGAGAGTTTTAAGGTAACTGTGGCAGAGAACTATAGCTGGGTTGGAAACATTTTTCAACATAACAACTATTAGCCATTTATTCCACCATACTGGCCTTAATTAAAAACTGAAAGCTTTAGGAAGTGTGGTTTGCAGTTTCCCACCAGTGATTTAGCAGAATCAGAACAACAAGCAAATTAAAGGAGGTTCTCTGGCCCAGATTAAACCTTTTTCTGCCTATTGTAAAGACAATTAATGATTTTGTATTCAGCATCCCATGCTTCAGCATGGTGGATGGAGCTTTTCTTCAGCAGGGATTGGGAAGCCAGTCAGATATGGATGGAGCTTATTATGGGGTTGTACTTAAATAAAACCTGAAGATTAGGGACCACAGGACAAACACCCAACTCAGAACTTGGGTCAGAAGCATTACTCTGTGTTAAATTGGCCTTCAGATCACATGTGTTTTCAACTGGTGCTATATAGATACCTGAATCAAACAGAATTGAATTAAAGCTTCATCTCGCAGAGGAAGGAAAAAAAAAACCTACAGGTGGCAGCAAAGAGCAAAATGTTAAAAATGCATCACCAGGTACTAATGTAAAGGTAATTTAATGTTCCATATTCCTATATTTTGTGTGTATTCTTTTGCGTGGGGATATGTGTTACGCATATTTAAAGAATTACTGTCCCATGTATTGTAGCTTGTGGGCAGGATGGGGGAGGGATTTACAGTGTGTATTTTCTACCCGGTGACAGAAGTTTCAAGTACACCAGATTTAATGTGTTGCTTTACAATTCAACGTATATATGTTTTCTTTTTTGGGGCTGTTTTAAATACAGTAATTTAATGCATTCTGTGTTTTGAATGATGTGTATTGCTCATGGGTTTTTCCCGTAAAGCAGTGTTTTAGTCATAATTTACAAGACAAATAAATAAA